ACTGATTGAATATTGAGTGGTTTGGCTTGGCTTGAAGAAATGCCAACAGCACTGCAAACCCTATGCTCAAAGTAATTAACTATTAAATAGGGAATAATTAACCTTGACGAGCATTTAGAGTTTCCTACTCATTGTGAGAAACTGAAACATTTTCAAGTAACCAGAATTGAGTTTAAGACTTTAAACTCATTTCTGGTTTCTAAATGCACATTAAGTTCACAAACAATGACCATGACAGAAGATGGGTCACAATGTTACAAAAATGCTCTAAATTAATAGTAAAATGCTACTGATCTTATATCAGACTTCTGCCAGCTTGTTCGTGTTTACAGTGAGGCTGCAACATTAAGATTATGAAGTGCTTCATAGTAAGAGACACCCCTGCATGTATTAATGTGCACAAAAAAACAAACAAAAAAAAAAGAAAAAAAAAAAAAAGTTTAAACTAGCTCAGTGCAGTGCTTTCTGGTATAACCAGTGATCAATTTTGCACTCAAGTCACGTGCGGGTGTGAGAGCACTAAAAAGACAGCGATGTCTCCGATTTAAACCTCAGCAAATCTCCCTCTGCAGTTTGAGATTTTTTACTTAAACTTTTCCATGAATCGGAATCATTTGTTCACACATTATGGTCCTAAAATGTGGTAACAACGTGTGCATATAATAATATAATACAAACAAAAAAAAAAAAAAACACTGAAAACATTAAGACTACCAAAATGGGTTAGTTAGCATCACAGCTTTTGTAACGAGAGGATCATCTGTGTAGACAGACATGATAGTTGTGTTTCAAATCTAATGATACATGTGTGTTGTGTAAAAGCCAAACCTTTATTCCCGAAATCTAAAGTGCAACATTTATTCAGAACCACACGGTCAGCTCAGACACGAGATGAACAGAGATTTGTGCGCAGTTTCATACATGAGCATGAGGCGGCTGTATCGATGCCCACACCTGTAACTGCTCTGCTGTCGTCTCGGTCAAACAGGTGGAGCTCCAGCATACTGACAAACACTGGAGCTCCAGCCCTCGACCGGCTCGATCACACCAGCGTCTTACCAGGGTTACAGTCTGTGAGGAGAGAGCAGATGGACAGCAGCACTTTGGAGATGGTGAGCGCCGGGCTCCAGTTGTCCTTCAGGATGTCCAGACAGATCACACCCTGACTGTTGATGTTGCAGTGGTAGATTCTCGTGCGAAACGTCACCTGACACACCACAACAGAGCAAGAGAATGTGCGTTAATGAGTGATGAGGGAATCCAGAGGTCTGCTCTAGATAACATCATGAAAACAATTCATTTTAAAAAGGCGAAGCATAGACTGTGGCGAGCCTTGTCCTCAAAACCATGTCTGATCTAAACGCAGTAAAACCTTCAGCTAACATAATAACAAAACACAAAAAACCGAGAAGAGAACTGAATAAATCAACAAAATGCATCAGAGACAGACAAGAACTGACAAAAATTTATTGAGTACTGGGAACACAAGGGCTTAAATACACAGACACTAATGAGAGTAACAAGACACAGGTGAGAACAATCAAAATGCAACGAAGGAATCACAGTAAACGGGAACTTCACTGAAAAAAATTATACAACATTTTTTTAAGGTCAGTGGTTGCAAACAATTTATTTTAGCTACATTTAAATAAAAAATGATGTTGAAAGTTAGTCAACTACATTTGTTTATTTAAATGTAGCCAAAATAAATTGATTGCAACCACTTACCTTCAAAAAAAAAAGTAAATTCAATGAATCATTTTTTCAGTGTAAATGGATGACAAACTAAAAGTCCAACAAGGACTCATAACACGAGTGTTGTCCTTCTTGTCTTGAGTCATTATGCTACATCTTTGGTTTGATGCCATTTTAACTATTAATTTCAACCAATTAAATGCTTTTCTACATAGAAATACATACTTATCCTGGATTTTGACTGGTCAGATAATATATCATCTAGTGCAGGGTTTGTTTCACAGACAACTGATTTTTTCAGAGATAAAAATATCACAGAATGTCTCACAGGGCTTAAAAAAATAAAAAATTAATGTTCTAGCGAAAGGAGAATGTAACATGATGAATTTGCGTAGTAAAGTTCAGCTGGTAGAGCATGGCATTAAAAAAATATATGGGTTAGTTTCTCAGAAAACACATAGATTGTTTAAAAGTATCATTTGAATTCAGTCTAAATTGCTTTGGATATACATTATGTGCCAAATGCACTAATGTCAAAGTAAATTGCACATGTTTAGTGATAAAATCACAGCAATTTTCTGCCCATTTACTGAGCAAGCATATAGATTCAGAACATGTCCGTATGTTTGGTGAAGTAAATCATTTTTGAGTGTTGTAGAATCAGCCCTGAGGGCCATCACCTCTTCATTATCTGTTCATTATCTCTCATTAAATCACACACTCTTCTCACATGCTCTCTTGAATGAGGTTTTTACGGCCACACAAGTGAAAGTGACGATCCATCTGTCTGCCCAGGTGAATTAAGTCTATGGGGAGTTTACTGATCTCAGGTCAAGCTCTCATTTGGACCATTATCAGTATATCAAGTCTTTAATGACTGAATTAATGTGTCTTGATACTTAAACCAGGCTTCTCTTAAGTAGTTTAACTGGCTGTCATGCCTATAACAAGACACGTCTATGTTTGTCTTCAGAGATTTCAGAAATAGTTCAGCAGGGAGAATAGCAGAAGAGGGGTTTCAGCCTAAAGAGGCATTTCTTATGTGTTGAACGGTATCTTCCACACACAATCAAACATTTTCCAGAATTCATTCAGAACTGCATTTAAAATGCCTTTTTAATTCCATTTTAATTCCTGAATATGAATTAAGGTAACATGGTGCAGAAATATAAAGGATTCTAAATCCAAAATCGAATGCAATTGTATAAACAAGAACAACTGCAATGGAAAGAAATTCACAGAAATTCTTAAAAATGTGTAATTCAGTTTTAAATAAAGCATTTCCTTTTTCAGTATGAATCACCCAAACACAACATACAAGGTTTATTTTCATGAGATGTTGACATTCAAGATTAAAATTAGGTTCAAGATCTATATACAGCACGACAAAAGTGATCAAGAATCAATTAAATAACTTAAAGACATAGTTCACCCAAAAATAAATAAACATTGTGTCATCATTTACTCACCTTCAGGTCTTTCTAAACATGACTTTCTTTAGACAGTGACTCATGCAAGGTAAGAGTTTGTGTGAATAATGACTCAAATGTCAGTTTCTCGCAGACTGTGCATTTTATATTGCATCATATTACTTCTATGGTATACTTACATGGCACCCAATAGCTGCATGCTTTCACTGAGAGATTTCATTAACTTGCACTCTAAAGAAAAATACAGATTAAAAGGACTCCAACTCTAACAATGAGAGTCAGAAAGCGAGCTCTGACCTTGGGTGGTGTGAGTCTGGTGAGAAAGCGATGTCTGGACATACACTGAACCTGGAGGAGCCAGGATAGTGGACCTGCACTCGTAGATCTTTTCTCCTTTAGGACCAAACGCACAACCAGGTCAATGCAGAAGAGAGGAGCTGCACTGAAACATTAGACTGATTCATAAAAACATGCAGATTATGTAATCCTCTTTAGTGTGGCATAATCCTTAAATACAAGATGAAAATGTGTATTTGTGGCCCAAACTGCCAGACACCACCATGTGTGGTACGGGTAATTATGGGATGCTGGCAATGCCAGGATATCTGGCTACCGAGAGCATGCTGGGACTGAGGACAGCTATTCTGTCAGGCTCATATGTGGATCTGATTCTTGTCAAAAAGCCTAAAGGAAAACTAATGGAATTTCTATCAAAATGTGGAGCCAATCCCCGTGTGAGCAAACATTAACAAGACCATACTGGATCTTTATTTCTTTATTTTGTCAGAATGTCAGTTTATCCAGTTGGATTTTATTTGATTCATATTTTATTTTATGGATTCATATTTTAGCCCTTTAGGATTTCTTCCAAAGATGACAGAAATTCCATTAGCAATCCATTAGCATTCATTCAGGATTTGTAACTCCGGGGAATGGATTTACACGAGTGTGTGTGTGTGAGCAGCTCAGTCTAGGTTTACACATTGTCTCATTAAAGCAAATATTTACATGAAATATATGTTAAATATATTGTATTACAGTGTATGAAGTGTATTAACGATTACATTTATTCTTTTTTTTATTTTAAGATTTTATTTTTGCCGTTTTTGCCTTTTATTGGGATAGGACAGTATTTTACAGAAAAAAAGTGGGAGAGAGAGGAGAAAGGTCCGCAAGCCGGGACTTGAACTCAGGACACCTGAAGCATAACGGTGCTATTTGTCGACACACTGCCCATGAAGCTATTGGCGTCGACTGATTACATTTATTCAATCAGTAGATGCTTTTATCCTAAGCAAATACAGCAAATGAGGAACAACACAAGCAAGCTGTCTTAAGAGGCAGTTTTCAGCATGAAGCGAAAAGTCACCCTACCTGACCTGTTTTCTAAATGCATGTTATAGATCCTTTTATGAACAATTTACCCATACATATGTTTCACAAACAAACAAACAAATAAATAATCAAAATACTATTACTGGACCTTCTGGTAAAAACGCTAGACTTCTGCAATCAATTAGTCCACTTAAAGCAGTCCCTGAAAGACCACATTCATCTGCCTTTATACTTGTTTTTATGTTTAACCCTGTTGAAAAATCCGCCTATGCTGGTTAGGTATGTTTTGAAGAATGGCTGCTGGTTTAAGCTGGTCATGAGCTGGTTTAAGATGCATGTGCTGGTTTAAGCTGGTCATGAGCTGGTTTAAGCTGCATGTGCTGGTTTAAGCTGGTCATGAGCTGGTTTAAGATGGTCATTTGCTGGTTTAAGCTGGTCATGAGGTGGTTTAAGCTGGTCATGTGTTGGTTTAAGCTGGTCCATAGCTGGTCATGTGCTGGTCATGAGCTGGTTTAAGCTGGTCATGTGCTGGTTTAAGCCAGTCCTTAGCTGGTCATGTGCTGGTTTAAGCTGGTCATGTGCTGGTCATGAGCTGGTTTAAGCTGGTCATGTGCTGGTTTAAGCTGGTCATGAGGTGCTTTAAGCTGGTCATGTGCTGGTTTAAGCCAGTCCTTAGCTGGTCATGTGCTGGTTTAAGCTGGTCATGTGCTAGTTTAAGCTGGTCATGTGCTGGTTTAAGCCAGTCCTTAGCTGGTCATGTGCTGGTTTAAGCTGGTCATGAGCTGGTTTAAGCTGGTCATTTGCTGGTTTAAGCTGGTCATGAGGTGCTTTAAGCTGGTCATGTGCTGGTTTAAGCCGGTCCATAGCTGGCCATGTGCTGGTTTAAGCTGGTCATGTGCTGGTTTAAGCCAGTCCTTAGCTGGTCATGTGCTGGTTTAAGCTGGTCATGTGCTGGTCATGAGCTGGTTTAAGCTGGTCATGTGCTGGTCATGAGCTGGTTTAAGCTGGCCATGTGCTGATCATAAATTGGTTTAAGCTGGTCATGTGCTGGTCCTAAACAGGTTTAAGCTGGTCATGTGCTGGTCATGAGCTGGTTTAAGCTGGTCATTTGCTGGTTTAAGCTGGTCATGTGCTGGTTTAAGCTAGTCATGTGCTGGTCCTAAGCTGGTCCTGAGCAGGAGCTAGTTGCTTAGGACCATCTTAAACCAGCAGCCATGCTTCAAAACATACCTAACCAGCATATGCTGTTTTTTTCACCAGGGAAGTGCAACCTCCACATCCAAAAATCCAATTACAATGGAAAGTTGAAAATAATGCTCGCATCTGACAATGAAATCACTTTACTCTACTAGGGTCAAGAGTGTGAGCCTCAGTGCGCACAAAACAAATTCATCTTTTTGCTGTTTATAAAGCGGGTGAGGGATGAAAGCAAATAACATGCCATCAACAGCCGGGTTTAAGGGAAACGCTTCAATGAAAAGGGCACATTAAGAATTCAAGAGGCTCACACGAGAGGCCTGGAAACCTGGACAACTGCTGAGACAATGACACAGGGCTTTGTTCTGTCAGCGTCCTTTGAAACACCTGAATTTGCTGATTTTACCATAAGCCGTGGAGACACAAGCCAAGTCCAGATCACAGGGTCCTTTCGCAGTGTTCACTGCTACCTAAACACCAAGCAGGGGATATCTGCACTAGATCCCTTCATCTGAATGCCCTGCAATGCCATCAACACAGATCACTCAGACTGACCCAGGGTTTCTCCATCTGTGAAGCACGTCAGCGCTGATATTTGAGCCCGGTCTCATGAAAATGCGTATAAATAGTACGCCAAATAAAAACGAAAACTCGTGGTATTGATACGAAAAATGGACTTTGGCGTACATATGATACACATGTGTTTGGCGTGCATATAATACGCAGTTTTCACATACATATGATACGAAATTTGTTGGCGTGCATATGATACGCAGTTTTCACATACATATGATACGAAATTTGTTGGCGTGCATATAATACGCAGCTTTCACATACATATGATACGAAATTTGTTGGCGTGCATATGATACGCAGTTTTCGCGTACATATGATACGCATCTACCCCACAACCCTAAACCTACCCATCGTGTAGCATATACACGCCAAAGTCCATTTTTGCGCATCAATACCACAAGTTTTTTTTTTATACGCACTTTCATGAGATCGGGTTGGATATTCAGCGTTGGGGAAAGTTACTTTTAAAAGTAATGCATTACAATAATGCATTACTCCCCAAAATGTAATTGCATTACTTAGTTACTTTTTTGTGTTACTTTACTTTTGCGTTACTTTTTCTTGGCTTGGCTTGCATGTTGCATGTTTGTTTTAAATATAAAAATGCTCTTCTTTTTTTGGCAAATGGTTCAACACTCTTCAGTAATTAAAAAATAATAAAAAAATAAACACAAATGTTATGTTTATCTAAAATCATTTTTGCATATGTTAGTATGGTTGAATTGGACCATCGAAGGTCAGCAGCAAAGACCTTCGCTTTATTGGTTAATAAAATGGGATTAAAATACATAAAGGACATTTGAGTTATTTAACATATTTAATTATAGCAGGTTTGCATCAAATTCTGAGTTTGCATTTCACGTTTTATTCATTTTGAGGAACAGTGAACCAGTTTTTGTGTAAGTGAGATGAGTAAATGCATGTTCATATTTAGTCTAGATCTACAGTATCATCATGCTCACACAGCGCACACAATGCCTCTGCACTTACTCCTGATTAGGGTTGCAAAGGGGTGGCAAATTTCCGGAAACTTTTGAAAAATCCCTGGAATATTCCTAAAAATCATGGAAAGTTTCCAAAATTTCTGGAATATTTTTTTAAATTTACTATAAATTTTCCACCTTTTTGCAGCCCTATTCCTGATTTCTCTCAACATAAGGACAGGAGAGCTGTCAGTCAGTACATGGAAAACAAAGTAACTAGAGTTACTTATTTGAAAAAGTAACTCAGATATTTCCTTCTAAAGTTTTTTACAATTTAAAAAAAAAAACTTTGTTTATTTTTATACCAGTTTTACAAATGAGGACGTCCCCAAAGGGAGGTTTTTGAAGATTTTGTCACGTTTAGCTCACTTTTGGGTACACATTTGTCCCCAAAATATGGTTAAGTGTGTGTGTGTGGGGGGGCACTAAAGGTAATTTATTAGGCAGCACACAAACAACAGATAAGGATTCTGTAGTCAGTCTATGAGGGATATTTGAGATAACAGTTTATCATGACTCACTGTCAGTATGTGTACACTCAAAAGAAAAGACACAGATGTGTAGAGCTGATTTCATTCTGATATTGACCTCAGATGACAACAGCTCAAGTGTGTATGTGTGTTTAGCTAGTTAAAGGATAAACCAGCATACATTTGCCTTCTGAAGGACAACCAGAGACATCCTCAACTGTAAAAGTGACTAAACTGATTTTTTTTTTAATGTTTTAACATCTGTGTTAATCTATTGTCATTAAAACTAATAAGCTTTATATAAAAACCACAGAAGTTTATGGCATATCCTCATTTAGTTTACTAAGCAAATATTTGTGCACATCCACCTCCACTTTTTAATTGATAGAAAATAGAAATGTACACAGCTTAAAATAATTAACTAAATAATAATAAAAAAAATAAATAATTTTTTTAGAATTGCAGAAGTTTGGCAGTGAATTAAAATATTTTTAGTTATTTAAGCTGGAAGCCTTTTTGACGGCACACACTGTATAAAGGTCCCAAATCACATGCAATTTTCACGGCTCACAACTTTTAGCATGCTACTAAACAACAGTACAATTCAGCTTCATTTGCATTTTGTCAAATGCATATGCTACTCTGCTTAATAATGTCTGTATATCTTTAGGATATATTTTCTGTAAAATCTCTTTAGGCAGGTATTTAATTGGAAAATCGGTAAATAATGCTGTTTTTTTTTTAATTCACTAAACATGTTTGCGCATACCCTCCATAGGATGTTTTTGGGCTTTGATTTGCAGTGTGAACTGCTGTGACACAAGATAAAGAACACACCATGGCTT